ATGGAGATAATAGTACTGGCCTCCCGGCATCATTGTGTGGATTGAATGTACTCAGCAGGTTACATAATTGCTCCTGACCTGTATCCAGTATTTGGCTATTGTCACAGGTGGTGATGACTGGAGGGGCCGTGTGCCCAATAAGTTGTGAACATCTTGGAGGATAGGCACTTCAGTATCTTCTTGTTCCAGTAATGAGGAGGATCCCATTTGGGCTCCAAGCAGCTCAGCTTCAGCAAGGGAGAGAGAGGTAATTAGACCATTGCAAGTTATGAGAGGGCTGGGAAGCTCCTTGGAGGAGCCCTTCACATAGGTGGGTGTTGGGGAGAACTTTTGGAAAGATGTCAGTTCTACAGATGTAGCCTGGTGGGACCAGGGGAAGAGAGGTGCCCTCAGCTCCACGAAAAAAGAGAATGGGTCTGACTTTGGTTCTTGTCCCTCTTCCCACTGCCTGACACACATCCAACCATCAATACCAGCTGGCTGCAGGAATGAATGAGCCCTCCTTGGGGGCATCAGGAGCTCTGATATAAAATACAGAGGTGAGATGTGACACACTGGGGAGCCACTCAGGTTTGCTGGATCTGAACAGAGCCTGTCAGAGCCCAGTATCTCCAAGCCGAGGGCACATTTCCCCGTGACCGCGGAGTCATTGCCATGGGTGGAAGCTGCTCCAGTGCCCAAGAGACAGCAGTGGAGGACTGCAGCCCAGGGCCACCAGAGGGACAGGCAAGGACAAGCTGGCTTAAAGCTGAGACCTCTGACCCAGGCGTTCTCCGAGGGAATCCAGGCCGCGTAGTGGCAAGGCCGGTGCAGAACGCAGATGAGGATGGGGAGGAGTGGAGTTGGGCTAGGGAGGGAAGCGGGCTGCGCTGGGGCACCGTCTATGGCACAGGTGCGAAGCCCCAGGCCAAGGCCAAGGCCAAGGCCGGTCGCCGTCCTCGCTCCGGTCCCCCTGCAGGCGGCGCCAGAGCGCAGGGCCGCCTCGTGATTCGGGTCCAGAGTCCGGCCGGGCGGAGCGAGGGGCGGGCCCCTGCGTCTTTGGGCGTTGGAGCGCGGCGACAGCCACGCCACGGGACGGACGGCGGGACGCGCCTCCGGAGCTCCAGGGTCATGGAGGAGCACACCGTCCGCCGCTGCTG